TTTGACGTGGGTGGGGTGTCAGCTTCACACAGCTGTGCAAGCTTACTTGTCGGACAGGACACTAGGGTTCAATCCCCGGCAGGTGTTCTCGATCAAATATATTATTTTTATCTATGTTATTGGTATCAAGCACAAATAGCTTAGTTATGTTCAAATTTCTAATTCCATTAACGACAAATGAACATTTTTCCCCGTTGCCATGATAATCGCGTTATTTCCGTCCCAATGATGACGGTGTCTCGCGCTCCAGCTTAACTCAGGTATAACTTGATTCAGAACTGAGTTACTTAGTTGATGATCTGAAACCAAAAACCTGGAGTATCACAGTTGGGTATGTATATTCAGAGTATCTGCCTTCTACTCGGAGCTTGTTGACCCTGCTTTCTGAAACAGGGCCCTGTTTTTATACAGTGGACAGCAATGGTCCTAGAAAACTACCTAGGTAATTTTCTAGGACCATTGCGGAGTAGATAGTTACTGTCTAGCTAGCACCTAGGTGCTAGCTAGACAGTAACTGCCTGCGGACTACACTTCCCACACACCCCTGCGGGACCGTCCTCTTTCCCAAAACGTTGCTGTGTGAGTTCGGGTCGGATTGATTTACCATCCGGATCGTCATGGAGGTGACTGCGGTGCGTCGCTCGTTTCTTTGCGACATTGGTGAGCCCAACTCTGTGAGCGGAAAATTGCGGCATGTTTAGCAGTGGTGCGGTTCATACAGGCTAAAAGCGGACAGAGCAAGTCAGGTTAAAGTATCATAAATCTGTACCTATACAAACGCAGTAAAAATGTTTTATTTTCCATGGGTTTGAATATCTCTCTCAAAACAAAATTTAGTTTGTCAGAAAATGTGCTACATGAGACCAATAAAAATTATTTTCAATGTATATTTTATTCCAGGGTCCACAGTCATACGAAATAGTGCTGAGTTGACAGCTGTCAAATCCTGTTTTTGAAAAACTTATCCAGGTGTGATGTGTTTCTTTATGACTCCAGCCACTTAATGTGATTTATATCACTTAACTGTACACAGTAACTGCATTGAATCTTATTTTTAAAATTTGATATTGATACTCTGGTTGATCAAACAGTGGAGATAATTAAATAACAATCCTGACAATAGTTTTTTCTTTTTGATATCACAATTAGGATTTATCATGACAACAATAAATCAAAATTTTTATCAAGATGAATGAGAAGTGTCTCACAGTTAATGATAAATGGCCAGCTCTATCTGTGGTACTATTTGTGTCCAGCATACTGTCAGGTAGTCCTGTGTGTTACTCTGCTGGTGTGTGTCAGGTTCCTGGGCAGACCGTACGGCGTTGCATGAAGCTGCGTCCCAGGGCCGGGCCCTCCAGCTGAAGCAGCTCATAGAGAGTGGGGCCTCTGTCAACATGGTGACCGTGGATAACATCACACCGCTCCACGAAGCCTGCATTCAGGCCCGTCCCAACTGTGCCCGCCTCCTGCTGGAGGCCGGAGCTCAGGTGAGTTCAGGTTCAGCAGCGCAAAAGATGCAGAGGTGGTGTTGAGACGGGGCCTGGTGTGTGTGTGGCTGTTCCAGGTAGACATCCGGACCATCCATGGCAGCACGCCTCTCTGCAACGCCTGTGCTGCTGGCAGCCTGGAGTGTGCCCAGCTGCTCTTGGAGTACGGCGCCACGGTGAACCCATCGCTCACGGCGCTGACTGCATCTCCGCTCCATGAGGCCTGCATCCAGGGTGCGTCCTCCGGGAACAGACTGGGGAAACTAAAGTGTTCATTCAGTAACGTTCCAGTCTCCTCCCAGGTAATGCTGAGGTGGTGAGGCTGATGATAACCAGCGGCGCCAAGCTGGAAGCCTTCGACGTCCACTTTGGTCCTCCGCTTCACATAGCATGTGCTAAAGGTCACGTGGAGTGTGTCAAGGAGCTGCTGAAAGCAGGTTGTTAACCAACATCCAGCACCTTGCAACAGATGCATGCATCAGCTGCAATCACAAACTTCAATGTAATATATTGTACTCAATTTTTGTAAATACAATAAAAATGTAGCATTTAGTTTACATTGAGCCCCCTTTACTCTAATACCCCTAGATAACATTCCGTGCAACCAACTACCTTCAGAAGTTATTAATTATTAAATATGGACATCCTGTGTATGATGAAGTTTGTTAGAGATTATGAGCACACAAAGGAAAAGCGGTACAGTAGACAGGATACAGGGAAGTTGTGAAAAAATATGAAACTGAGTTTTGTTCTATGGAGACTAAATTAAAATGTTTAATTGAATGTCTAAATAATTTTAAATTGACAGTCAATTTATTAAATGTCATTAAATCATTAAAATACAAATATAATAGCTTATGCAGATGATAAATGCTGTGAGGGAGGGCTGACTGACAGACCCGTCTGCATGTGAGCCAATAACAGTAAATCACCACACTGATGCTAACTTAGCAACTTTTCAAACAAAAAATTTCCAAATCAGCAGGTCAGGTTCTTTAACCTGACAGTGGTTGGCTGTCAGCTTATTGAAAACTGCTTTATTGTGTTTTGTTCTCATTGTTCACACAAACTGCATCTTATTAATGGCATAATTCCCAAAAACATTTGTTCTTGTTCATAATGTTATCCTTTTGTTGGTATAAAACAGGTTGATCTTCCTCTTTATTGAAATGCTAATTCACATGCAAAATCATATCAAAGAGAACGTGTGTGTTGTTATTTTTGCTACTTATCCTGAGTGGACTAGAATCCAACTGCAGCTTCTTTGTTCTGCTATCCAGGATTTTTCACTCCTAAAAAACAAATTCGTTGATATTGTAAAGTGAATGTAAAATAAATTGTTTTTGTCTCTTTTCTGCATAAAACACCTAAGTGTGCCACTAAAATAATTCAGACCACATCTTTTATTCACCCTCAAATAAAGACAATTACATTATGTTAAAAACTGCATCAGTCGTTGCAACATTCTCAAAGCAAAAGTCGCCTCCATTTATGAACACAACATTGAACATAGTATTAATATTTTTTCATGGCTGTAAATATCGTTGAGCTCATTGATTCTAGGATTTGAATAGGTTGGCTTTCATTCTTTGTGCAGGTGCCAATGTAAATTCAGTGAATTTTCATGAGACCTCTTTGCACCACGCTGCTCGAGCCCACATGGTGGACATGATCGAGCTGTTGGTGGAATTTGGAGCCAATGTGTACGCCAGTGACGGTCTCGGAAAGAAGCCACTCGACTACACGACGCCGGCCTCTCCCTCTTACGCCTGCCTCCAGTTTTATGAAAGTAATTTCAGCTGAATTCTGTCAGAAGCACCAGCTGGCCTGATTGGGTACAGTCTGCTGAAAAACTAAAAAGTGGATTAACAGAGACGTCTTCTTCCTCACAGGTAATCCTCTGAACCTTCAGCAGCTTTGCAGGATTGTTTTGAGGAGGATGCTGGGTACCAAAGCCTCAGAGTTGATGGACCAGCTGAACATCTCCCGACGCATCTACGACTACCTCCAGTTCAGTGGATAGGATAGAATCTCTCCTATCCACTGAAAGTCTTAAAAACAAAGTGCCTGAAATAACTGTATTCTGTCCAAATATGTCATGTACACTTATTGGGATTGTTGTTAAATATGTTTGAGGAAAGAAACTTAATATAAATGTAAAATTTATATTAGTAGCATAATCTCACTCTAGAAACAATTGTTAAACAATCCAAATTTTAGATGATTACATCAGTTTTAAACATTACTTCGTGGAATGTACTTGATTTCAAGTACTTAATCTATACAAAACACTTCATCTCAATATGAAGAAGTAGCAAAGATGTTTGCTCTCTTTATTTAAATGATGGTTGCAGAAGGATAATCATGTGATTATGAAGACTAAGGAGGATATGCTTTGTCCTGAAAGAGACTGCTCTATTATTTATCATTTTTAATTTACAGAGTGGAACTAGAAAAACTTAGCACAGCCAAGAAAACGTGAAAGCCCATTTTTACTTTCAAACTGCAACTGCCACTTAAGTTGATGTTATGAGGAACTGATGTCATCATTGAAATATGAAGTTTAGAAAGTTTTCTTTTCTCTACATGAGCAAGAGGAATCATCTACAGAGAACTCAAGTAGTCAAAAAAAAAAATAATGCAGAAAGGATACAGACCAGAAACAGAGCCCTGGACCATGTTACTGGAACAGCGCCAGTTTACGCCATCAATTCAAAGTATACCTGGGTGAACTCATTTGTTCAAATAAGTGTTCTGTATACGTCATTCATTTGTTGTCATTTCCTCAACAGTTCTTATTTTTACAGAAGAGGATTAAGGCCACTGAAAAAAATATGAATTCTGACTTTAATCTTAATTCTGACTTTTTCCTCAGAATTCTGAGATTAAAGTCAGATTTTTTTTCAGTGGTCCTACATTCCTCTTCGTATAGTTTTGATATGTGTACATCAAAATTTTATAATGTTGCTTAATGTGTCCTTATTTATTTAATATCTCCTTTAACTGATAGTGATGTACAAGTGTTATTTATAATGTACGCTTTATTTTGAGTGTAATGTGTTCTATTTGACACCATAGGAAATATGGTATCAATATTTTTGGATTATGTAGGCAAACCAGAGTACCTGGAGAAAACCCACATATATGCATGGATGCTGCTGTGGTAATTACTATGCAAGAAGCATTGAATGACATACTGCTAAAAATAATGTGCAGTCACAATACAGGGAAATATTTTGAGACTCATATGTTTAATTTAAGAGGGAGACCTGTGAAATACATCATCATCAACAACATACCTCAAGATCCAGTCTTTCTCCAGATTGTTTTCCCTGGCTTGGTTCTAGTTTTTACATGCGCTCCCCTCCACCTGTCTGTCTCTGTCGTATCACAGTTCTGAATGGTCTCGGTCTTCACATGTGTTGTCCTCTTCTGAAGTGGATTCTTGATGCTTGTCTCTTAGCCTTTGGGAGTCTAAACAGTCTGATTCTTTCAAACTTGTGTCTTGTGAATCTGTTAAGTTGTCTTCAAATGTCATGTCTTCCAAAGGACTTTCCTCTATCTCTTTGTCACTTGTCTTGTCCTCTGCCTTTGCGAAGTTCTCCTGTTTCCCTTTCTTTTCCAGCCTTTGGAGGTCTGGAGAGTCTGACTCTTTAACAGTTGTGTTGTGTGAGTCTGTTAAGTCATCTTCAAATCTTGTGTCTTCCAAAGTCCTGTCTTCTAACTCTTTATCATGTATCTTGTCAACTGACTCTGAAAAATCCTCCTGTTTCTCATTTCCTCTCAGGGTTGAAAGGTCTGGACAATCTGACTTTTTCACAGCTGTGTTGTATGAATTTGTTAAGTTATCTTCAAATGTGTTTTCCAAAGTCTTATCTTTTATAGGACTTTGGAACCACATCTTGTCCTCTGACTCTGAAAAATCTTGTTTCCCGTTTTCTCTCAGCCCTTGGAGGTCTTGAGGGTCTGACTCTTTCACAGTTGGGTTGCGTGAATCTATTGAATTATCTTGAGATGTTGTGTTTTCCAGAGTTCTATCTTCAAAGTCTTTATCGCATGTTTTGTCCACTGACTCTGAAAAATCTAATTGCTTCTCATTTTCTCTCTGCCCTTGCAGGTTTTGAGGGTCTGAGTCTTTCGCAGTTGCATTGTATGATTCTGTTAAGTTATCTTCAGACATTGTGTTTTCCGTTGTCCTGTCTTGTAACTCTTTATCACTTGCTTTGTCCACTGACTCTGAAAAATCTTGTTTCTTGTTTCCTCTCAGCCCTTGGAGGTCTTGAGGGTCTGACTCTTTCACAGGTGTGTTGCATAAATCTGTTGAGTCATCTTCAGATGTTGTGTCTTCTAACTCTTCATCACTTGTTTCATCTTCCGACTCTGAAATCTTCTCTTGTTTCTTGTTTTCTCTCTCCCTTTGGAGGGCTTGAGGAAATGACTCATTTATAGCTGTGCTGTACGATTCTGTTAAGTCATCTTCAGACGTTGTGTCTTCCAAAGTACTGTCTTCTGACTCTTCGTCACTTGTCTCGTCCTCTGACTCTGAAGTATCAACTTGTTTCTCGTTTTTTCTTAGCCTTTGGCGGTCTTGAGAATCTGACTCTTTCACAGTTGTGTTGTTTAAACCTACTAAGTCATCTTCAGTTGTCGTTTCTTCTAAAGAGCTGTCTTCCAACTCCTTATCACTTGCCTCATCCTCTGACTCTAAAAAATAATTTTGTCCCTGGTTTTCTCGAGTAGGAGGCACACATTCCCCATCAGATAATATTGAGTCCAAAGAAATTTGTTTCCATTCTCCTGCTAAGTTAGAATGCTGTCCGGTAAACTTCTGATCGTCTGCTGGACGAATTCTATCTTGTATATTCACAACATTAAAAGACTGAATGTTTCCAAGAATGTTCTCAATGTCTAGTTGGAAGGAAACAAATTCCTTCTTGAGATCATCGAGTTTAAGTACAAGGGAAGTTAAACGTTTTGCCATGTTGTCTTTGTCCTTTTTCTTTGATTTGATCCCAAGTTTTACCATTGATTTTAAATCCTCTATCTTGTATAGGTAATTTTGCTTGGTTTCCTCCAGCTCTTTGATCAGATCGTCTGCCTCTTTGTAATCACGTTCCAGTGCAGTTTGATATGACAGTTCGTCTGTCAGGTCCTGAACCAGTTTTTCTAACTTAGGGTTCAGTTGTGTGAGTCTTTGGCACTCTTTCTTTGCACACCTGTAGTGGTATCTCATGACAGGCACACCAACTAGTTGTTGTTTCAAACTTTCGAGCTTTTGCAAAAGACTATTGTTCTGTTTGTCTAAATGATCCAGGTTTTCATCTTTTGCCATGGTTTTGTCATTCAGAGCCGCCAAATTGAATATTTCCAGTTTGTCCATAATCTCTGTTATGCAGTTTTCTTGAATCTTCATCAAATTTTTGTTACCGTCTGCAGACTTTGTGTACTTATCAAATACTTTAGTTTGATATGAAAGTTGGTCTGTCAAGATGTTAACATGATTTGCTAACCTAGTGTTAAGAAGTTTGAGGCTTTTCTGCTGTTCTTTAGCCCCACTTAAGTAAGATTTTAACACAGGTTTCTCAATTAATTGTTCATTCGTCCTTTCCAAAGCCCGGAAAAGTTCATTCCTCCTTCTGTCTAAATACATCAGTTTTTCTTCCTTTGCATTCCATTTGTCAGCTTCCAGATTCAACTTCCTAATCTGTCTTTCACATTCTTTGCTCAACTCCATCTCAGCTTTCATCACTTTTTTGGGATTTCGGAGATCTCTTTTTTTTTCAAGCCTTCGGTTCTTTTCCAAGAGTTCTTGGATTGCCTCATTATTCCTTTTGCGTATTTCTTCAAGATCAGTAGAGACAGATTTCCGTGTCCTCTTGAAAAATTTAAACATTTCGAAATTGTTCTTGCTGTCTAAAACTTAAAAAAAACGTTGCAATTTTTCTTGCCGTTTAAAAACAAAGCAAAATGTCAGAGCGAAACGAATGCTAGCAGAATGCAGGAAATTCTGCTGGCAGAATATGCCTTTGATACATATCACATATATCAAAGTCTTTGATACATATGACATATATCAAAGGCATATGTGACATCATTGGTGATGTATGATGTCTCATACACCCAGCTAATGGCAGACAGTTTTAACATAAAAATTGGTTTCATCACACTTGCATTCCAGATATCTGAAATTGGTTTATGACTAGACGTATTAGTAAATCAAGATATCACTGATTATATTTTAATTAGTCAAAGTCCCTATTTGAATCTTTGTTCCTACAGTTTTGTACCACTTATGGTTATATTTGTATTTACTAATACATTTTTAATGGAGTGACTTGTGATTAAAAAAGCAATTTCCTCTTGGAGATCAATAAAGTAAATTCTATTCTATTCTATTCAAATTTACCATTATTTTGTATGATGGCTAAAATTCAACATATTCACAATTAATTACAAGCTATCTTAAGCATATATTTCAGGTGTCAGCAATTAAACTATGGCTAGTCATAATGTAAGTATATAATAATTCACTTTTCTGGCTAGTTATAATTCTACAGCTATCTTGAAATATACTGTAATTCTAGTTATCTTAAATGTACTTTTAGGTAGGATGTAGATAGATCTGACTAGTGGAAATTACATTTCTGATATTTTGAAAGTAAATAATGATTAGGTAAAACTAAATAAGAGATATCTGGAACTGTAATTTTGACTTATCAAAATTTCTTTTAAGATATTTTTAGACTTTAAGTTTTATTGCCCATTTTTATCTTTTTCTGAAGATTTACCATCTTATCTTATTACTTCCACTTTTTTATCTGGATTTTTGTGTGGTAGGTACAGACAGTTGATCTGATGATTACCAGCCACTGCTTCTTATCTAGCTTGACCACCTGTGGATGAGATACCTTGAAAAATTGGGTGAGTCTCATTTTTAAATGTGTTCTTTTTGAATGCATCTGATTTTCTTCATCCAGGCAACCAAGATCAGAAATCTCTGTACACTGTTATTTATTGTCATATCAGCACAGCAGTACATTTGACTGCTCTGCAATTATTTAATTCTTAAATGATTGTTTTTTCATTGATGGATCATCCATGCTATGATATGGCCACTCCTGAAATAGGGCGTAACGTAACAAGGCCAATATCTGAATTATTAAATCGATATGCATGAATACATACGCCTGAATATTGCTTTGTCCGACGTCAAAACCTAATTCCCTTTAATATTCACAAAAACTACAACTACCAGGCTCCTCGTCGGCGTCCAGTCATGTCACGTGACTATAGAAGCATGCAAGCAGTGAAGACGCGGCTGTTTACAAACAACCATAACTGGATCTCCTTTTAACGCCGCTTCACTGGTGAAAGGAAGAGAACAACCAGGATGGAAATGGAGATTTCTCAGCCGTATTACTTCGGGGACATTGGTGAGTACAAGACACGCAGAAGCTCCGGGGAGACTGTCGCTTGTTTAGTCCCGACCCGGTTTGACGTCGACGTGTTTGGCACAGCTGCCAACTAGCTAGCTAGCTCGGGAATACTGAGCTAAAGCTGCCTTCTCTAGGGCCTAAGCGCATAAACATCAGGAACACTGGGTCAGATGTCTTGGGTATCGCTGTTATCAGCAGCTCTCTCAGCTGGGCCTCAGAGTCTTTTAACCCAGTGTTTCCTTAACCCGGGTGCGCGAGCGGGGCGCTGCATGGTTACTGAACCATGCGGCGCACGCGCACCATTTAAATAGAGCCCGAACCACAGTCGTCCCTGCGTGTTTAGTTGTTTCTCTGCTTTGACTCGCCTGATCCAGCTGTGACTATGACTTGGGCCTGTTACAGCCATCAGTTGAAATCAGCTGTTCTGCAGCAGGGAGCCCAACAACATGCTGGGCAGGTTGGAACCACTTAAGTCTGAACAGAAGCAAATTATCTTACTGAAAGATAAAAGCAATCATGGATTTAGAAGCATTATAACAAGATGAATTCAATGTTGTTGTTTTTTTTATTCTTTTATACTAATTGACTCCAGTTTTCTACATGAGCTTTAATATTGTTTTTAGGTGAGCTACCTGTTTTTTTGTTGTTGTTGTTTTTAAACCAAATCCCAAGAAAACAAAAATAAAAATCATAGCAAAATCTAGACTTATTTCATGTGACTGATTTATTTCATGTTGTTTTTATTTCTTTGTAAACATAGAACGGATCCTATTGGCCTCATTCTACAAAAGATAGCTTTCTTCAAACTAAACAGAAATACAATTTTTGGTACTTTTCTTCAAAAATAATAGTGTATCTATTAAACTTAATATGTGTTTTTCTCCTGCCGATATAAATTTTGTTGCAGTACCAAATGTGTACTTTTGGAGGAAGGATGACAAATAGTTGCTTGAATTGAAAAGTTGCAGAGATTCTTGAAAGATAACATTGAAATGATGAAGGCTCCATTAGGTTTGGGTGATTCTTTGATTTTATCGATTAATCAGAGTTTACATTTTCTAAAGATTTAAATTTTGGAAAATCAACTATGGAAAAGTAGCAGACTGCATCCAGAGTCATGATGCCAAATGAAAAAGTTAATAGATTTTTAGGACGTCTTCTTAGATTGAAATTTAGCAGTAGGATGGATGACTGATTCTGGATGACATGAATTAGTTTTAACTCGGTATGGATAACAGCAGCCTGCGGTTGGATAGATGGTGAGCCTTCCTCCTGCCCCCTCTGTCCCTCAGGCTGCTGGGCGGAGAGGACAGAGGTGCATAAGGCAGCGTCTCTCGGCCACGCCTCCCACCTGCAGCACCTCATAGAGGGCGGAGCTTCGGTCAACGTGGTGGCGGTGGACTCCATCACGCCGCTGCATGAGGCCTGCCTCCGGGGACAGGCCCGCTGTGTGCAGCTGCTGCTGGATGCTGGAGCCCAGGTGAGCTCTCCTCAGTGACATTAAACCATATCCACAACAATTAACTTATGACAGATTACAGTACCTGGAAAAAGTATTCACACCATTTGAGCTTCTTCTGATTCTTTTATGCTGCAGCCCAGATGTCGCGCTAGAGTTTTTTGCTCGCCGTCATTTTGACCGACGGATTTAAAAAATCGGTAATGTACTATTTTTACCCGTCAAATTATAATCGGCTATTTAACGCATTTTTATGCGGTTTAGTTAATATTCACCTAGTTGAACCGTGAATCCAGATCCCATCACACACAAAGCAGATGAACGGATCTAACTTTTTCTCCGTAGTGACAAAAACCACTGACTATGGCCCCAATAACTTATTGGCCCCAATAACTTTAATTTATTATATATAATAAATTAAATTACACTTAAATTACATCACTTCACCTGCTGGGGTCTGAAATCACAGCCTCAAAATATTCCTCCTGGTTCGCATCTGCAGAGAAATCTGCGCTAGTTCATCGGACAGTTGGATCTGTCTGATCCAAACCGATCAGTTGCACTTTTTCTTTGACGTGCGCTTTTACGAGGATTTATTTATTGTTTTTATTTTTATTTTTTTGCTTGGTTTCACTTCCCCGAAATGGATAGATGTTACATCGGCCGCGCTTCTGAGCGCCGCTCTCCTTCTGGGCGTGAGAGGGTAACGTCTTTAGCTACATTTGCTGAGTTAAGTTTAATTCTTCGCAGCAGCGGACTACGCATGTTGTGGTCTAATTAATTTCTACACTTTTATTTATTTCCTCAAGATAAACTGCCGGCTCCTCTGTTTAGACTTTAAATGGATTAACACAATATTTCATTCTCTTTAGTTTTCTCTGTTCTGTATGTAATTCAGTCTGAAATTAAACGCGCCGTTTCTACCAAATGTTTGTAATGCGTTTCTGAACCAGACGCGCTCCAAGGTGTCCGGTCCATAACTCTTCAACACGCTGCCAGCTCCCGGTCAGAAAGACCAATTTAGTTCAGTGTCCATGAGATGATATTGAGAAGGGATTTTTTATTAATTGATTTTAGTTGCCTCTGCGATGAACTCTTTCCATAAAGTTTGTAATGTGTACACCAGTAAAGGGTGTTCATTATAACCTGTCAAATGACTGATGGGCTTTAAATTTTCCCGTTGTTTAAAAAAAATAACCGGTCAAATACGGAAAACATTCTGTTAACCCAACCTCTGCTACAGTCACAAACTTTAGTCTGTCCTTTGGTCAGATCAGACCAAAATTAGAATGGGGCAGAAATTTGAAACCATATAAATATGTTTAATTAGTCCTGTCAATTAATTAAAACATGTAATCAGATTAGTCACACTCCAGCACTGTGATCAATCATAACTAACTCTGATTATCTTTGTAAGCTTGAAATATAAATATGCACACAGTTGTGGTTCTTGTAGGAATGGTGGCCAGGGCAAGCCCCTCCTTCTGCTGCACGCCAACCAATTAAAAAGCAGGTTATGTAGTCTCCCAGTACTCAAAGGTACCTAAGGGACACTGCTGCACATGCTACAAGTAGCAGGGAACTTGTTCTGGGGACAACTGACAGATAAGATGGACTTTATTTTTTAATTCTTTGTGCCCCATCTCTTTCTGATGCCGCCCTGGGCAAATGCCAGTATAACCTATATCAAAAACCATCACATTAAAACATGTCTATGAAATTTTTCATTGTCTCAAACTAAGCATGTTTATCTTTAAACATGCTTAGTTTTCCAGGAGGATTAAAAGGAAGTCATTTTGTTTTGAACGTTTGTTTAGAAATGTCCCTCTCCTTTCATTTCCTGTGGAACTTGTCCGATGAGGCGACAGTCGTTTGTCCTCATCCAGCCGAGCGGCCAATGTATTTCGTACATGTGAAATTTCAATCTTTCAAACTTTTGTTGCTGTCTGCTGGAAAACTTTTGCCGTCGCTCCCTGTGTGTTGTAAATTTTAAACAATTTACTTGCACGATAAATTAGTGTGTCCCGATCAGATATTTATATTGGAAATTGGTTCGATATCAGCCTAAAAGCAAGTATTGAATTACATCGGCCTGCATCTAAAATCTCTGATAGAAGCACTCTGCTCCAGGATTTAGTAGAAAATATTTAATAAAAATATTTTTTTATTATATTGCTGATAGTGCTGATAGTTTAGTGCTGATATTTTGCAATATCAGCACTATGATTAGTGTTGATATTGTATCGGTATCGTCCTAAAATATCGATATCATATCTGAAGGGAAAATGTTGTATCGGGACACCAGTACAATAAATACAAATCCCCAAAATTGAAGCCATAATATCTGGAGTTCTTCCAGGAAAAGATAGGTTTTTAGATTGTGACATTGTGCGTCCCATGTTTGATTCCAGGTGGATGCCAGGAACGTGGATGGAAGCACGCCGCTGTGTGACGCCTGTTCAGCTGGTAGTCTGGAGTGTGTGAAGCTGCTGCTGGAGCATGGAGCCATGGCCAACCCGGCCCTCACCTCCCGCACCGCCTCCCCACTCCATGAGGCCTGCATGGGAGGCAAACACTCCATTCTCAATCTTTTTATATACAATGCAGACTTTTTTATTAACCCAAATGAAGGATGTTTTTAAACTGGAGAATGTTACATTTCTAATAGGTAACTCAGACTGTGTGAAGCTGCTGATTGCCATGGGTGCCTGCCTCGAAGCGTATGATCTCTACTACGGAACTCCGCTACATGTGGCCTGTGTTAATGCACACACAGAGTGTGTTAAAGTTCTGCTTAATGCAGGTGTGTGTCACTGCAAAGCAGATTCTTTAAATGGGATGGACAAAATCAAATTAAGATGTTTGCCAATGTTCAAAAAATACAACAAGGGGTTTATTGACTAGAAAAGGAGAATGACTTGTTGTCCTTTGTTCCTAGGTGCTAAAGTCAATGCTGCTAGGCTACATGAGACCCCGCTGCACCACGCAGCTAAACACATGAGAGTTGAAATGATTGAGGTTCTTGTAGAGTTTGGAGCCAACATCTACGCTAGAGATCAGCACAACAGAAAACCGGTGGACTACACCACACCTGGCTCTCCTTCTGAGGCCTGTCTGCAGTTTTATGAGAGTGAGTTTTAATTCTCCCGTGGTCTAAGAGACAGGGTCATTTAGACCCCGCAATGTTTTTTACTCTGTTCGTGGTCCGGCAGGGTCCCACTGACTCTGTGCGCTTTTATTAGTTTTTGTTTTGTGTGTGTGTGGTTTTGGAAAGCGATGGTCTGATGGGACACCTCCCTTTGCTTCCCTGCTGTTCAATACTGACATTTGCCACGCTCCTTCTGAGCGTCGTGTTAAACCTCTAGGAAGGACGCAGCATCAGGGAATCTCCACAAGATGGCAGACTTAGACTTTGTGATAGAAAGAAGATCATTATGCCACTTAACTTCTACAACTTTATATAAAAAAGTATCTTAATCTAAAATGTAAACAGCTGTAATATTTTTGCCATTTTCTTAGACACTTTTAGGCATATATACCTTAATTCCTTTAGCACTTAGGTTTACATAGCAGAACATGATTAAAATATTTTGTTTGATGTTTGTTAAATACTATCATACCTACAAAAACACCAGAATTACAACATGTTAACACCTTTTAAATCAAAGATAAGGATAAATACAGAATGAGTGTGTGAAAACTAGATATTTCCATAGAAATTAAATGAGTCACTATTATGATTAGCTATAATTAAGATATCTTCCACCTATTGTTAGCACAATGCCAAGAGAGAAAGACATCAGGAATGTCTTTGCAGAGAAGTGAATGAAACAGAACTGTTGTTTCCCATCAACCTGGGAATAGCTAAGGTGCAATTTCCAGTTGTAAGACATCTAGTAAGATTAACAAGTGGAAAACATTCAGGGTAAATATTAAATCTATGAATGTGTTGTTGTAAGCATCAGGAGTTAAGTCTGTCCTGTCCTCCCCATAGCCACCCCCATGACTCTGCAGCAGCTCAGCAGGTTGGCAGTGAGGAGGAAGTTGGGAACAACAGCTCTGAGCATCATAGCTAAACTTGACATGCCAAAGCTAATCATCAGCTACCTCTGCTATCAGTGACCGTCACACCTGCTGGGAGAATGGGCTCCAGACTGAAATCAAACTGTTGACTGGAAAGCAAACACACTTGTAAACATGGTGCCAAGCATCACATGCCTGTTCTGTCCAATACTGCACTTTATTATTGTGTGAATACTCTAAAGTGTAATTGACAAGGTTTAGTATGGCTTGTTAGTTAATGGTAGCATATTAGCTAATGATGGGTTATGCTAACTGATGTTAGCATAGAAGAGAGAGGTAGTTAATGCTAACTATCAAGGTGTCGTTAGCTAATACTGTAATCCAATGTTGGTGTCTGAGACGCTCTTAGCGTACCATGCTAAGAGCATATATACTATGCTAGATATATACTATGCTAGATCGCCATGTTAGCTCATGTTAGCATTTTTTATAATGAAAATATGTAAGCCACTATTTGCATGGTAGAGTTCATTGACGCTAAAGTTAGCATCCTGCTTGACTTTAGCATTATAGCTAATGCCGGCATGAGATGCTATTAAAATAGCAGCTAGTCCTGACTTTTTAGCTAAAATGCTACTATTAACATGTTAAACTCATAACTCTATGATTCTCGCACTTTTTATTTTCAATCATTTCTTCTTCTGTTCAGCTCCTTCAGAATATGAGCTTATCAGTTTCATTTCCTTTTGGTTTCGGTGTAAAAGTGAAAGTTTTGGGCAGAGAAGATTGACAGTTGCTTATTTAAATGAAGTTGAATATATATTAGCAATATGTCTTAATTCATGTTTACTGTTTCTTGTAAGACTTATAATAGCACTTACTATAAGAAGTTTCCAAGTTAGTTTGAGGACTATTATTTAATAACACTTGCTGATTGTTTCAGCTCACTATGAGGTAGCAATTTGCCAATTTTTTTGAAAGTGTGCACAGATATTTTTTTTTTGCATTTTAATATTTTTTAGGAAACTGAATAGGAACCTTTAATTACATTAAATCTACTGCTTAAACTATAAAATGCTATGTCCATATGTCTATTAATTTATTTACAAAAACTGTAATTACGTATTTAGAGTGGCAGCAATTATCTTGAACAAGCTGTGCCTAGAACTGCACATTTCTGGACTGAGATGTCTGATGTTGTTCCTGGGATCTGTTTGAGCCATTGCTCCAGTTTGGGGGTGACTGCCCCGAGGGCCCCGATGACCACAGGCACCACTGTGGTCTTCACCTTCCAGGTCTTTTCCAGTTCCTCTCTGAGGCCCTGGTATTTCTCCAGTTTCTCATGTTTTTTTTCCTGATGTTGCAATCACTTGGTATTGCTACGTCCACCACAACTGCTTTTCTCTGTTGTTTATCCACCACCACAATGGCCACAATGTCTATATATGTGTGTGTGTGTAATATATAGAAGTATTTAAAACAGCTAAATGGTGTGACACCTTTTTTTCAGATCTTTTTTCAGATTATATGAGCATTGCATCTTTCTACGTACAGTTTACTGAGTTTGCCGGCTAGGATTCTTTGGTGATTGATGTTTAGTTTTTCAGGCTGCAGCTAGCACCAGGCATGATCCCTCTGCACAGGCCAGCTGAACATCAGCCTGTTTTAGCTGCACCTGTGTTTTAATATTTAGCATGACGGCGCTGCGCCAAGCTTTCAAAGCCCTTCATCATTAGTCTGTGATTGCTGTCCAAACCTCTAGATTCACCCTCTCATGTGGCTGTGGGCCTAATCCTGCCTGAGCTGTACGGATCTGGCCTGAATACGTCTGCTGCACTTCACCTATTGTCAGACAAGCTTGATTCATGCAAATTTTAATTTATAAAAGTTTACCTTTAGCCAAGTTAAAATGTTTTGACTATTAGTCGTTCTCAGGAAAGGAGTCCAAGACAATAAAGTTCGGGCTGTAAATGGAGATCTGTGGGCCTTTAAGGATAAATAAAATGTCTGACTCCAATACAGATCTGAAAATAACCAGTGGAAAACATGCTCTGTTTAAAAACGCCTCCAGGCTACAGTGGGGAACGGAAAAAAAATCAAGTGAAGGGAAGGTATGAAAGAATGTCCTGCTTTCTAATAAATCAAAAAGACAGATGAGGACTAAATCTGGAACACACTGAACCTTCTGACAACAATATGAAAAGCAGGTAAACCCATGAGAAGCACAGTCTAAAAGACAAAAACTTCCAACAGTTTATGTAACAGATAAACTCAGAAGCACATGAGTATAAAGTGAAAGGAAAATCATACATAGCTAGAAAAACAAAACAAAACAAAAAAAACACTAATTTGCTTCTGCATTTGCGTTCAGCCCCTTATTACGGGCAAAATGACTGCAACCAACCTCAGCTGGGAAGCACTTTGCAAACCACCGCATATGCAGAGCTGCCCAGTGACCATAAGTGGGCAGGTTGGAGAGCGAGGTGCTTCCTGGTTGAGGTTAGTTGCAGAGGTTTTGTGGCTTGCTCTTTGGCCAGAGCCCTGAGTAGTTTTGGCATCGAGGGAGAACACAGAAGGACAGCCATCTGTAGCAGCAGACATTGGCTCAAAACAGTTGTGACTTTAGAGAGGAGAACTGTGGAGTTGATGTAGCTAGTTAGCCATCTGCACACGAGCTGGGCACTGATCATCCCTGGACGGGTCATCTGGAAGGGATTGTATGATGTTGAAAGACCAGAAACACCCAATGATTCTAGGAACATCACTACTGATGTGTGCAGATGTATTCTCACACAGAAAATCATTGAAAAATATCTTTTTTGTAATTTAACTTCATTTCTCACACATAAATATATTTCAGGTATTTGTTTCAGATAAATGCAGTGACTATGGCTTCAGTTTGGCAGATGACTTATGAAACCATCAGTAACTGTGGAACATTCACACTAAACCTCAGGCTGTGTTTATTCTGTCTCTTCATTCTTCATCCAGACTTGATTTTAAAATGAAAATAATAATAAAAAAAAACAACAACCCCGCCCCCAAAAAACCAACAACTTTTAATTTAAAAATAAGACTTTGAATCTCTGGTAAAGATTAACAGCTAACCACTGGGCATGTGATCGTTGTTGCCCATATCCTGGATCTGGCTGTATGTGGTGGTTTGTGACAGTCAGACTTCAACTGCAATCCCAAACCTTGAAAATATCTCACCAAAGGTTTTGTTTTACAATCCTTTTAAATCTGCTGCTGTCTCTGTTCCCCTAAATCCTTTTCTACTCAACCTTCCTTTGCTTCGGTGAAACGCTTTGTGTACCTCCAACTTCTTGACTCACCTGAACCAACACATTTTAGGGGAATGTGTTTAGGAAGTAACTGTTATCCCAATTGTACTCTACTACCACTAGGTGGTGCCAGAAATAAAGAAATCAACAGAATACATGCTGTTGGAGGACTTACAAACTGTTGTATGAAACTAAAGCAGTTGGTAGAGATTAACTTGACCTTGCTACCTTCCTCTCATTGCTCATCTTCCTCCTGAGAATTAGACGCTGGTTATATTGGGAGTGTTAGGGTGTGTGGGCATACAGAGGGGAGCATGCAGGAAGTAGGAGGTTCCTGGTTGAGAATGAGGGATAAACATGGAGCTGGATGGTGTGATGGTCCAGTGCCATGCTCCTCCATCAGATACAACAGCTGCAAAAAGCCCCCACCTCTCACTCCCTTTGAAATTAGCTACAGATGGATTGTGGTTTTCAGACATTCATGTTATATACAGCCTATGTGTATTTCATAGTGAAAAACCTAATGTAAATGTTTAAGTTAACTGAATGTGGTTAAGGGTCTAAAAACACCAATAAATGAAAGGACAGAATGGCATGTTGTAGTGGTGGTCTCTGAGAACCGCTCTTCTGTTCTCTCTTATTTTCCAAAAAGAGACAATTTGGTTTAGAATCAAGTGTAAAGAATTAGTTCACCCAAAGATGGGACCCTAACTCAGTATGAAGTAAAAATAAACTGCTGGAGAAAGGCACCAGATGGATGGATGGATTCTGAAGGGCAGCAGCAATGTTTTATGTCCAACATCCTTCAGTATTTGGTTTTATTACTGAACTGTTTTCAGCCTCTCCCAACATCCTCGCTGACCTGCCTGCTGGGTTCCTTCTTCATGATGCTGATTGTTTATTTATGTTCACTAACAAACCTCTGAGGTCTTCAAAGAACGGCATTTTGCTCAGTTTATTAGAATACTAGCACCATTAAAGAAATCTTTAAAAAAAAAGACATATTGTAGCCATCGAAGAGGAAATTTCCACCCAAACATCCAGATGTTTTCAGATTAATTTAAAAAAAGCCATATAGTTGCTGGAAAAACAAATGCTATTTCCATCCTCAAATATGAGTCATCCACATTCACATGAAGGTTAAAGATAAATATTTACAATATTAAAACTGAGATATTCCCTGATGTTATGCGGTAGGAAGTTTGTAAGAAAAACAAGCAAACAAAAGAAATCAAAAGAAGTTGGTAAGACAGCTGTACTTGCGAGGGAATGAGAAAAGCATGCAGCACAGGTCAAGAAAGCTTGGATCTCCTAAATTATAGCACACAGATATCCCCGCAAAGATCCTGGTGAACATCAAGTTGGAAGATTACCCCTTTCACAGTGATGATTTATTGATTGCACAGTAAAATGACAGACTTCCAAAGTATTCTCAGCTTTTGAGTCTCGGCCTCCACCCATCGTCTACTCCCACACTTACAGTCCAACTGCTTTGGTCTGAGAAAATCACATTCACGTGTGTCTGGATTAGAGCGCTGAACTCACATATACACAGAGGGAGGCTTCAAAAGCTGCCAAAGGACCGAGACATCTGGTTGGAGTTTCTGGAGGGAGTCCCCTGTAGCAGACGTCCTCTGTCTCAAATGTGTGTGTGTCGCAGTGTAAATGAACTGAGCAGACATTTTTCCCCTCTTTCCTTTGTTCTTTAGCTCCTTATGTCTGCGTTTAAGCAGTACCACCTCTGAAAAACCAATGACTAAACTCGTTCTGATTTAGTGCAGTGGAGTATTCCGAGGTTTGTGCACAGCGACTCATTCATAGGGATGTGTGCCAGAAGTAAAAGAGGCCTGTTTCTAACCCCAGATACTGTACGCTTCAATTATGTCTGAGGATCCATTGCAACTGACAACTTTAATGACTCCGATTCAGACTTCAAAAGATCAGCTATGGGTTGACTGGAAATCCTCTGGGTTAATGTAGTGTCAAACCCAGAGGAAGCAGCAGAAGGGAGAATGGGATTACTAAAAGCTCCCAGGTTGTCACTTCATTTTCTGTCAAATGTGCATCAAATATATACCAGAGAATTCAGATCCTTCATGTCCATTGTTGGCTCTGCTGTTTCTCATCTTTCTTTTGACAACAGATGTTGATGGTTGTCTAAGGTCAGTGTCTCTGCTCTGTCTTCTCAGAGCCCCAGTTGGTCATGGCAGATGGCCACTCACACAGAGTCATGTTCTGCTTCTGCTTGGGATTTCTTCCTGGTAAAGGGGGAGTTTTCTTTCTACTCCTGCTACATGCATGCTCAGTACGAGAGATTGCAGTGAATTCAACCAGGCTCAGATTGGCTAATCGGTAGAACTGGGACATTTCCCTTTGGGCCGTTCTGATGATTGGGCCTTTTTTTCCAGGCTGGTGTGCAGTCGCAGCACTGGTGGGTTGATCCCATCAGCTGCTACTGTTGTATGGCAGACCATTCTAACCTGAAATTGGTTTCATCAATCTGTTATTGATGTAAGTGTGGTGAAGCTGATTTA